TTAATACAGTCTAGTAACAGCAATAACTTTAATTGTGTATAATCATGTTACCGAAGGGTTATATAATTATTATTACCAGTTGATATTATTTGAACATATGCTAAACATTATAGAGCACTGAAAATTCATCCAACTCCAGTTTGAATCCTAAAGATAATATAATAAACTAATATATACAGGGAATCTCTAATTAAATTTTCATAAACGTCTTCAAAAAAAGAAAGATTAAGAGATGGTGAGGCAGATTTGTAGCTCAGGTGGATGATTTTGATGGAGTTTTGTTTTCTGAGCTGGATGGTTCGGTCGTGGAGTTTTCATCGTTCTTCTGAACAACATCATCAGTGACAATGACAGGTTTAAGGTCAACAAGAACCAATCAACACCAAGGTCTACTGGACAAGCTGTGAACCATATGTGGAGAAATTCGAACACTTCACTTCTACCTGAATTTTGTGCTGATGATGTCGTTCAGAAGAACGACGAAAGCTCCACGACCAAACCATCCAGCTCAGAGAACAAATCTCCATCAAAAAATAATAACAAATAATTAATATACAGCAGAATATATCATACGAAAAATAATCATATTTAGACATTAAAAATGTCTACACAGTAACAGATCCTATTCATAAAATTTGTGTTTGAACACACAGATACCATTCTGACTGAGTGTTTTTATTATTTGAAAATTTCCGCTCAGACATTTTAAATCTATTTAAGATAGAAGGAAAAACCATCTGATTTCAGTATACTTAAGAGTAAGAAATTGAATAGTGGAACACTTTTATTAGTGATTATTTATATCATATGTTTAATAATACAAAAAGAAAAACAATTTTGCTGACGTGAAAGCAATCCTGTGTTTAAGTCTATTTATATCTCGACTACATATATTGTCATTTGACTCATAATTTAATTTCGTCAATGAATCCATTTTATCTATTTGGCAAGTAAACATAATTACACGAGATTTTGAGCTATTTTTATTGCACATCTAGATATCTCATTGAATATTCAAAGTTTTTATACATTTTTAACAGTTTTTTTATTCCAAAAAAAGAAAAAAAAACTTCTAAAATTCCTGATCACTTTAATGTTGTATCAAGCTAATAATAACAATTTCATGCCAAGTGAATTTATGTAAACAAATAAGTAGATTTTATATTTCTATCATCAATGTTTCAATGTGTTTAAACAATATGGTTATTATTTTTTATTATATACTGAAATCAACAATATTCGCAATGTACATTGATTGATAAATTATAAAATCAACTACAAGCACCTCTATTTCTTGAAATTATCTTTCTATATTTTCAGAAGTATCTGTGTTCTATAGTATCAAACATTTACGTGTATAATATGATGTTTGAATGCTATCGTATTATGCTATTCATATACAATACGGTAGTAAAATATACCAAATTTAATGGTTAAAAGAGTCTACCATTCTGAACAATATCAATAGCACATATTTTTACGAATCGTACATCAATGTACCTCAATCTCCATGTGTTATAACACTGTTTACCTTTCAAGGCTAAATATCCGAAATCACAGGAAATAAAACAGTTTATGTTTTAATTAACGTACAATTAACATTTAAAGCATACACCATTTATGTGTTTTACATTTGACTTTTTGATCTAGCGCTTCTTTTCATTTGAATGTAATGTTTACAAAACAAGGCATATTTTTGTAATCTTCTTGTCCATTTGGTTATTTAACATTTTCTGGCCAGTGGTAGATCAACAATTTAAAGGCGTTCGGCTATTAGGAAGATATTTCATATTTCTAAGTCTTAAAGCTCAGATAAACATGCAGTCTATTTTTATAATGGTAAATTCATAATACCATTTTTCTACAAGTTGTATCATTGAACATTTTAGGTTCACTTGCAATTTTACAGTCTTCATTGATAAATAGTAATTTACAGTCAATGCTTTATTCCATCAGTATTGACAAGACATGAACAATAAGTTTACGAGCGTATTTTGTCAAGAAAATTTTCTACATTACTACATTTAAGCAGGCAAACTTGAATGATAAGAATGGTGTTTTGTAGAGATTGTAGTGATTTTAATGGTTGAATTCATGAGTCGATGTAAGCTAGACCACCATTGAAAACCTGGAAGCACTGAAAGGCCGTTCCGTTCTAGTATGGGACTCCTCAGCAGTGTGCGTACACAGTCCCGCACGAAGGACTCAAACTAAGGACCTTCGGTTTCGTGAGCAAACGCCTAACCTCTAGGCCACTGAGTCGGCATCCAACGGTGTTGATGTCTAACTTCAATCGATCTATGATCTTGCGCAACCATTCATCCATTGCCTAGTGAGAAACCGTGACCGATGGAGTTCAATCCGCGTCGGGTGTGGGACAATTACCCACTATAGACAATACATGAATGATTGCGCAAGATTAAAGATGGTAGTTTTTTGATCATTCAATACTTAGTGCTGACCTCATTAATTTTAATGGTCAAAATTAATGACCAAGTATTTACATCACTAAGAATTTTTATATGAACGCTGCGTTACTCTTACACATCGCTAATGATGTCAGTCAAATTATCATGCTGACGTAAATACTATTACTTAAGCACTGATATTAGTATTATCTCATTTAGACGGGTGTCATTTTTCTCTTCAAATGTATAAAAATAGGAAGATAAAATTTATCAGGGAAGAGGTATCAACCTTGTTAGAAAAGCATCAAATGACTTATTTCCTCTCCAGACCGGATACTGAAGATCATTGTCTCAAATGTCTTTAATGTAACTTCAAAGCATTCAAAAACGTAAATCCAAATAACGAAGTATTGATACTGTAATATCCGTCATGTGTAAGAGAACCCTTTGAGTATACGTTCTATGTGACAATAATCATTCGTTTTCCTATATATGTAATTTTATTCCTATTAATCTTATGTTTATCGTACTTATTTTTGGTTCAAAGGAGATTATTACTCCTTTGCCCATAAATTCAGTTCTTCAATAGTACTTCTAATATTGTATGATATTTTCCTGAAAGTTTCACGTTATCTTTTTCCTAAACCTGAAGTCTTGTGTGATCCCACATTGATTTGTCATGCTTAACTGTCTATATTTTAGTCCATTGATTTGTCTCATCACTGGTAGACATAAAATAGTTTTTATTTGTCCTAAGCACATTTCCGCTTTCTCAAGTAAAGCTTCGTATACACGAAAAATCTATTTATTGCATTGTAGATTTAATCACACTAGTTTTTATAACATTATGTCGGTTGTAATATTCAGATGTAATGCCTTTCAAATATTTTGTACACTTTTTAATGATATTTTAGTTTAAATAATGCCATAAATACGACAGGTCCATTATATTTTATTATCTTTTAGGGAGATTAAGCTTCGTCAACATAGACGCGTAAGCTATTGTGATGTTTATATGTAATATGACTACTTAGTTTAAGTTACAAAAATACGATACAATTTCAGTGTGCTCACTGATTTACGTCTGAATTGAATACCACTTCATTCATGACTGTTAGACTACGAGTTAGACAATCATTAGAAGCACTAGTTATTTAATGCAATAGGTTTTTCTTTTTACAAATCTAAATGAAGCCAAAGCAACAATTGAGGCAGAATAATATGACTTTTTCCTAGTTTCTCATCAGCTGCTGACAACAATATATGTCTTAAAAAAGTAACATAGGATCATGATATAATAGTTAACAATTGACATCAAAGACGAAAAAAATTAAAATAACAAGAAACTATGTAAAAACAGGTGTGAGATCATTTGGAAATCGAATTCAGTATCATAGAGGGTGGGTGAAGCAGTAAATAAGTGAAGTCCAAAAACAGATAAGATAGATTGTGTGATAATTATAGTGGTTGTGTAGAGTTTACATAAGATCCAAACCACTTGAAAATAGATATAGAAGACTTGAAGAACTAAGACTGTAATTGTCTAGAATTAGAAACTGATAAGATGGGTTACGTAGCAATTAACAAGAATTTGAAGAGTTTACATAATTTTTGAGAATTAGGTGAATAAAAAATCGATGAATAAAAGGATGATTTAGTTGTACATAAAATAAGAATTAGTTTGGCCAAGACCACATAATAAAATAAGCACTATTAAAGTACTGATAATAATAATGACAATAGTAATTTACCAAGGTTCGAGTTTCTTTATTGTTGCTGCTTCAGTAAACCGGAGACGCGGTGCTTTTTGTCCACTGATAATCAAAAGGGATTGTGTACTGTCAGTGGTGTGCTCAGTATCAATCAAATGCCGAGCTATTGCACAATATGAAGCCATAGTGACAATCAGTCTCAAATTCCCTGAAACGTGATAGAAAGTGTGAACCTATACTATTTTTTTTGTTGCATGCACTTTGAGACGTACATGTATATTGTTAAATTCAGTTAGAAGTACTGAGAAAAGTGGACCTGTTAATCTTTGTATGTTTGAGTGAGCAGTTCATTTCATATAACTTCGTCGGTCCTGCCGATGGACAAGCAACGTTCATCGCAGCATCTATCCTAAGGTAAATCATTACAGTGGTTTCATCTCCTTAGAGGCCCAAATATAATAAGCAGGTTTTATTTTCCACTGTGTTGTATATAACACGTCCTTTGGTTTGTCACACTTCTCGATGAGTTGTACACACATTTAAATCATGAAACCGTTGAGAGATAAATTGTAGGGTTTAAAATCTGGTAGTGAACTAGGAAAGAAATTAAAGTTTAGTCGCATCTAACCCGCATTTTTATCTGAGGGCGTCAATGATCCACGAAGATTATATAAATCCCGGAATTTCTTCATTTCCATCTATAATGAAAGATCACGTTTGTCAAGGCTAGCTCAATTAAACCGTCATCCGTGTTTTACAAACACAAACTGAAAGCATTTTATATAAGTAATACATGGTGAATAGCTAAATATAAGGTCTTTCCTAAGTCGTACAAAACAATATTGGAGATTGTTTATTGAATGTCTGAGTAAGAACTTTCAAATATTCATGGTCATTTCAGGGTCATTCGGTTCCGTCATGAAGGTTTCCCGGTTCTTGATATCTGCTTATCGTTATTCGTATTTATATTAAGCTGACACGAAAATTCATATAAGCTTTGTTAATTTTTATTCTTGGCGTCGTCATTTTTATATTCATTGCAGTTACCCTACATAATTAGATTATAACCTATGCCTATAGGCATAGTTTATCTATTTTAATTTACCTATAGCTAAATTAAATTTGCTTCTAAAACATTCAGAATAAAAAAATTAGCTTCACATCTTTAACAATAATTTTAAAATAGGTTCAGAAGGTAGTTTTGTCACTTTTGGTTTGTAGTTGGGGTTTTCATTACGAAGTGATATCAAACACAGTAGAAGACACATTAGGCATCTAAAGCAGTACGTACGTGGTTCATTTTCTTATCTGAACGATAACGATGGGGTTCATCTACAACCAGCTGGCGAACGTCTAGTGAGGTGTGACGCGTTCCTTCGTCCCACCCTGCAATTGTCCAACCGTGCTATAGTCTCACCATGGAACAGATGACACATTTAACGACAGTTCTTCGAAAATACCAGTTAACTTAGAATCCGTGATGAAGGGAATCTGCTTTCAGCTCAGCTTTTACTTATTATCCGAGATTCTTTATGTTATATGTGATTGATTCGCCCATAAATTATTGTCCCGTCGTATTTTTTATTTTACCCCATACTGATCATTCAACATATGGGGCCAAGCCCAAAGCGTAGTTTTGTACACATTACTAGAGTTCTATATTAGTTGGTTTTTGATAGGAAGATGGTTAGAATAGTCTGTTAATCATGCGTAATGAAGCTTGTTTAACAGGTTTACTCTTCATCAGTGTAAGGTTTGAGAGATATTTTTCTGGTCAAGATTTAAGACCCCACTGCTGAACGAACTCATGACCTCCAGGTATTGTGGTGAGCACTTAACCTCTATCTATGTTTAACTCCATTCGATTCGTTATGTAGCACAACTACTCAATCTTTAGTGGTCAACTACCTCACACCAGACATTTTGACTCCATTAGTCTTAACTTCTAACCAGGACTCCATGATTTGTCTTTTAAAATAAATCGCTAGTAGGGGCATAATAATTCCCAGTAATTGGTTTTGCGAAAGTTCTTGAATTTTATCGAGATCACTTTATTTCCAACACGATTTTAGTCGGGAATTTATACTATTCTTTTTTTAACTGATGATAATTAATTTCCCATGAACGTCCGTGCATACTTTATCTCAGTTTAGTCGCAAAATTCTTTGGCTGGATGCTAATGACTGACTTAAACCTCGATATTCAACTTGAATACCATATAATTATCAACGGTCATGCTAATTTACAATGGTTAAATAAATCTTTGAAGTTGAGAGCATGAATGTAACAACAACCCACTTTCATAAATCATCAGTTATCTGCCTGCATTTGATGAAAATTCCTCCAGATTTCATATTCGTAATCGGAAATTTCATCCGTTTAATATGTCCAAAAGTAAAGAGTGCAAGACAAATCATTTCGGATAATTCTTGTTTCAAAACAAATGTATTATCATTCTCGCTGGGAATGTCAAATATGTGTTACCCTCCAAATTCCAAAGTTTATAAAAGCTATCTAAGTAATCGTGTCAGTGATGGGTCTCTTTCGATGCATTTCATCAATACTCTGTTTTGTCTTTCATGAACTTTACTATACTATATTAGAACTCATTCATGCTATTTGTTATTCGTAGTTTGGAATAAGTCTTCCCATTTATTTTTTTCTGTACCTTTTAATTCTTAATACTTTTAGTTTCGTATACGCCGCTTAGCTATAAAGCTATTTATCAACAAAGTCATCGCTGCTACATCCATGTACTCGTTTGTTCAAAGTGTGCTAAAGTTCACTAAATATTCATTAAAAAACCGGCTTATGTGCTTTAGTTCCATCCAGCATCTATACAGCAAACAATTTTAAAGGGTACACTTATCATCTTGTGTAATGTACGATTGATACATCTGACAACTACCACACACATGAAAGGATTCGAAAATACTATAAAACTTAAAGTGTGATGAATGGCTCCAAGTAGTCATTCACTGTTTAACATGCTTCTTGTTTCTTGTGGAGGTTTTATATGTAGAATTGTGTTAAATTTGAATTTTTTATCTGGTAGAATTAACATGTCTACATGCATCAGTAATATTTTCCAAAATTTTAGTCTATCTTAAGCATTCCATCAATGATTGGATTTTGTACAAGTATCGGGAAGATTTCAACTGGAATACGGACGTTTACAAAGGTAATAGCTGCATTTTTAGATAAATTTGCAACCAGGCAAGTTTTCTTTTTGCTCCGATCCGTAACAAAAGTATGCATCTCGAACTCTAAGTAAACCCATTCATTTCAGTCTATATTGAAGTTTATGGGTGTCAAATGAACCATAGTGATACCAATATTGCTCAGAGTTTATTAACAAAAGCTGGGTATACTATTGTCCCGTCGGATGAACAGGTTGGTTCTTTTCTTCAAATATAATCCTACAGTGTGACACTGTCTTGCTCATGACTTGTGCCATTCGAGATAGTGCTGAAGTAAAAATTTGGCGACGTATTCAACACCTGCGATCTCTTCACCGTAAATCATATATAAAAATAGGTGTTCTAGGTAAGTATCTTGTTTTAGACATAATCTTAGATTCAATGGTGCGTATGCTATAGGGTCCCTTTATAAGCTACTGTAATCAAATATCCATTCGTAGGCCTTTTATAAAAGATCACAGTGGTCTCTGTATAATTGATGGAATGTTCCTGACTTCTGAAACACAAATTCTAAGATTACTCAATGACAAATTACAGCTTCATGTATACTCGGTTTTTGGTCTTGCCCTTTTTATGAGGACTGGTGACACTACCTGGTCAAACTGATGTAGAGCGGGGTTTAACTTCGTTATATGAATAACTGAAAGTCGTGTGTACTAATAAGCCTTTGAAAACACGACCTTTTTCTCCTATAACAAATTTATCATTTAGGTTTTCTAGTAATATAGTGTAGCATGCTTCCTGTATTTTCAAGGTATAATAAAGATAGAAAAACTAGAAACACATGATTAAGATAGTAAAATGTACATGTCTGTAAAAACTGAAAGCTTGGGTATCATTGGATGGCAACCTAGCATTGGAGCTGCTTCGAAATGACAGGCAGGGACTTACTGGTTTTGTGATTAAACACAACATTCTCAATGTTCTCAGTTCTATTCTTGTAAAGCTGATATTTTCATTTTAATAACTAATGTTTTACTAAGTGTTGGAGGATAGTAAAACAAGTTCATTACATTTGCCAATCGTGATTGAGAATAACAATAACCAAAACTCTGCATAAACTTTGATAAACTGGTCTGTGGAATTATGTCTATGGAGCTAAAACACTATAAGGTTCTCACTAGTCATTTACTACATAAGTTTTTTCACAATTGGGCAGCGACAAAATTGTACTACATAAACGAAATAATATTGTAATGAACCAAAGAAGAGAAGAGTATTTCAGTCAATAAACAAACAAGTACAGTATTTAATAAGACATGTAGTTCAATAAAAACTAGGGCTTCATATCACGAACTGACCACCTCTCCACTTTTCCCCCATTCCTAGTGTTGGCAAACAATGCACGACATACAGGCCCCTGCTGTGACATCTGTAGAATATGTTTAAGCCACCCTTCAACTGACGATACTAATGAACAGTCGTATCCAAAATATCGGAGTCGTCTCGGATGTCAATAAATTTAACGACTATTGGTTTGTAATAAGTGTGACAGTGTTCAAGTATTCGACAGAGAATAGAGATGGGGTAAAAGTCATACTATTAAATTACGTGTCCGGAGTCCTCTTTTGTGATGCCATCGCGCTGCCAAGCTTTTATAGCCTATATCAATCAGTCAGTCAGCAGCAAGATAGAACTTCGTACGTACGTACGTACGTACATCAGTTCAAGTTACCATACCGTATTAGCACAGCGATACAATTGTCGATTCAAATCCCATAGTGGTAGAGGTAGTAAGAGTATAAGCAGTAATCGGAAAGATTAGGGTTTGAAGACGTTATTCAAGGAATATAATCCAGTGAGATAAATTTGGAAAGAGAAAAAAGGGGACATGAAGAATTCAGAAGATTAGAATTTCGGAGAACACAAAGAGTGGATGCATCTACGCTATTGCAAACGATTTTGAGCCATGTCATTCAAGGTCTCTAGCTATCGGTTGCTATCGTCTTGCGGATCCCAACTGGGTAGTCTGCACCTAACAACATGGCTCAGTGCACTTGTCAGTGATTTCATGGATTTGTGCCAAGTTTGAGCCTGGCCGCCCTAGCTTTCTTCCAACCTACTCCTACACCATAAAACATCGCTCGCGGTAGTCAGTGGTTGGGCATACACATGTCCCAGCCATCTCAACTGATGAAGTTCCACTACCTCATTCATTGATTTGTCATTCTTACCCAGTACCCGTTTCCTAACAACTACGTTACTTAATCGATGGTCCCAGGATATACGAGCAATGCTTCGAAGACACCTATGACCGAATACTAGTAAACTACGAATATCCTCTACTCTTATCGGCCATGTTTTACAGCCATAAAGTAGGAGAGAATGAACTGCTGCTCAGTGAACGCGTCCTTTGGTTGGTAACTTATAGCAAGAAAACCTCACTGACTGCCTTCAGATGGTGGGGTCGTTTTTAAAAAATCAAAGGGCAAAAGGCAAGTGTTTGGCGCTCAAAATGTGTTAGTGGATAAAAATGGCTTCACCAAGGGGAGTTGCACAACCGTGACTGTACAGAAATTTCGAAATATAGTCTTTTTAGAAGCATCACAACTAGACATCTGAAAACAACGTTTACAGTATCAAAAAAGTGTAGTAAACAAATCCAAAAAATCTTTACCACAATTGGATATCAGTTCAAGCCCTTACAATATACCATGTGACCGTTAGATGATATTAACAAAATGTGATCTTCAGTACTAAGCACAACAATAATAATAGTAACCAAGTTCGACAATATGTTAATGATATTTTACTTAATAAAATTTCAGGATGTATGGCCAAAAGGTTAAAGGATAAACTCCTTATGGATGACAGCTGTAAAACTTTAAAAGCGGGTGATCTTCAGTCATCTAATTTTGATCACGATAATTACACTGTTGCGGCAGATTTTGTTTGCGGCCCTGATTCTTATCGTGATTTGCCGAAACTTATTGAAGATGCTCATTCTGGACTAAAAGGTGCTAGCGTCGCATTGTCTCTGGAAGAGACATATGCAGATGTAACTCCTGTACGACGTCATTTTACAACCGACGAATCCTCAGACCCAATCCCTGCTCCTACGGCTTTCCTATCAGTTATGCGTGGGTGTGATAATATGTGCACCTATTGTATTGTACCTTTTGTCAGAGGACGTGAACGCAGTAGACCATTGGATTCAATCCTTCACGAAGCACAAAGCTTATTTAATGAGGTATATTCACACATGTTTCTTGCTTTATAGTAACTAGAAGTCTATTATTCATAGGGGCAAGATTTCATGTTTACGGACATTGTAGTTCCATCATTTCGTTTTCTTAGAAGTGAGATTTTATTACCGTTATCAAGGGTTATTTGTGTGAACAAAATCGTATTTATATTTTTCCCCTGTATATTGTATTATCTTACTTTGGTCGGATTGTTTGGTATACTTGTAAAAACTAGCTTTGATGAATTTATGCTAATAAACAAGTACTGTAACATCGGTTTACTTATATTTAGATCAGTTCAACAACACTTACTCATACTCTCTGCTAGAGTCTACAAATAATTAATTAGAAATTTATTTGAAAAATGTTAAATCTTTGTGCAAGGTAGATTGTCCTTTTTCAAAATTTTCGAATTTCCCAATTTATAACCTACCATTTTTCCATCACTGATAAAAGTACAATTTAGTCGCTGCTGTACATACAGAGTTCCATCTTCTTGCACTACAATGTTAGTTTTTATCATCGAATGATAGTAGCTGAGATACTTAAAGATATCAGAACTCATTTTAAAACTGTTTCGTTATAGCTTAAGACTTATCAACAATACACACCCGTCCAGAGACCTTGCACAACGGCCATATTATTTTTAAACCATTGAGTTGACATCTAGTGGTGCTTACACTTGTAACTTTAACTAATTTGTAAATTCAAACAACACTGACCGGTTTTATTGGTAAATGACAACGAACTCACTAAAAACCTCAAACGTCGATGTTCCAGTGAACAAAAACACTCCAAAAATAAATTCCACAAATTGGGCGAAACTGAATCTTCGGAAAATTTAATTACACTTTTCCCGTCCGATTTTGCCACCTAGTCTGAGACCTCTTTACAAACCATGTTTATCTACTGCATAACTAAAAGATGGAGATTTACAGTTGGCACAAACAAAATTATATATATATATATATATATATATAAATATATATATATATATATGTTAAGATCTAAACTGTGTGTTCAATCGGCTACACAATCCTTGTTTTGCTTTACTCGCCTTGAAACATTTGTCGATCATAGGGTTTTCTCTAAGGACATACAGTCAGTATTTGACTGATTGGTGATTCGTGTGATATATTGTCTCAATTAATTGATTCTATAACAAGTAATACAACTATCAATATGAACTCATAAAGTGTATTTCGTTTTAGGACTATGAAATTGGAAAAAGACCATTATGTGGTACATTGATAAATGGAGTTAGTTCCTAAATGTTTATCGTAGTATTCATCTAAGAGACGATCAGAATTGTGTAGCTTCTGTTGTGATTTTTCGCAGACTATCAAGTTTCTATTAACAATATTTTTAACGCTAGTGTAAAACGTACTTATCAACAATTGAGATCTGTCCTTGTGGCTGAGTACCCGTATAAAGGTCTATACATTATGATGTGAATCACTGATTCAGTATTTTGCTCAATTCTCACGGAACCCTTCCTAAATAATTAGAACCCAGTTTACATTAATAAATCTGTTCACCGTAACAATGCACTTTTAGTAAATTGTGTTTGAAATCAGTTTTGCAGTGGTTGAAATTCATTCACTCTAACTTGTAGATTGTAAAACAGTATGAAATATAATTGTTTCAGGAAAATCATAACTTACACTTCTTAAAATAAAAAGTTATAACTCACTAAACTTCTAAAAATAGGTCGCCTTTTGGGGTCCCTGTTTGCTATACTACTATCATGATTTTTCGCTTGATCTAGTATGAGTTTATACCCGCACCAACTTCCAGTCATTCATTCCAAATTCATCAGCATTAAATATATTGCCCTCAATTATTCTACGGCATCATTGATACTTCCAATTATTGTTTTGTTTTGCCTTTTCCTTCATTCATTTAAATAAAAGGGAGTAAAAGAAATTACTTTGCTTGGACAAAATGTTAATAGTTATTGTGATAATTCGAATACAGACTTAACAATCAACTCGTCTAAAACGATTTCAACACTTGTCCCTGGATTTAAAACTGTTTATAAACCAAAAGTTGGTGGTTTAAGATTTTTCGATTTATTAGACCAAGTAAGTCAGATTAGTCCAGAACTTCGTATTCGATTCACATCACCACATCCAAAAGATTTCCCAAAAGAGGTTAGTTAGTTATTTTTCTAATTTTTCATATTTACGTTACATTAAAAATATGTTTCAAAAACAACTAGAGAGGGAGTTAGTCGGTCGTGAAAATGACATAGTATGATATCCAAAAGGCTGTGGAAACGGTAGTGATATCTATTAGTAACTTAAACTAAAAAGTTAGGAAAAATCGGTGGATTTCGGCAGCGTTTACAGGACTGATAGGTGCACGGAAACTCGTCCTGCCCGGCTCTGAACACGATGAGGAGCGGAGGCAGCTTAAAAGTAGGTTTATCAAAAGCCTCCTTAATGATCGTGAGCAGTGGTAGTTAGCGAAACCAGAAGAGTCGTAAAAATCAGCTGGAATGGGTAACGGTAGACAGCTGTTTAGATTTATCAGGGAAACGAGTATTAAAAATCCGATTGTTAATGAAACTATCTCAAAAAAGGCGGGACTATTATTCACTCTAAATCTAGGAGAATAAGCCGGTCGGCAGAACACTTTAGGGAACAACCTAACTGACCTTCAACCACACTTCAGTTACCCACTATCTCTAAGCAAACTGATGAAAATCCTCGAACTGTTAGAATGTCTTAGAAGGCTATAAACAATTTAGAGCGAAGGAGAGCAGCAGAGCATAATGGACTGACTTTTGAGATTTTCAATAATGGTGATCCAGTTTTAGCAGTTAGATTAACTGAAATTTTAGCGAAAATCTGGAAACTGGACGTAATCCCATCTGACTAGTCTCGATCTCGGATCGTTCCAGTTTATAACAAATAAAAAAAATCCCATTGTGATAACCACAAAGGAATCAGTCTTACTGATAGTGTCTAAAATATTAGCCTCAATAAAACCTCGGCTTCTAACTAGAGCTCGTGAAGAGCGAACCCGAGATAACTAGGCTGGTCTCAGACCCGGACGTGGATGTGTAGAACAAATATTCACCCTTTGGCAGATCCTGGAATATGAACATACTCTTCGACGTCCTGCTATAATCATATTCCTTTGTGGCAACTTGGTTTCGTTTATTAGTCACCCTGATAACCGTTATTAAATAAATCCCAAAGGTGTAAGGATTCAGAAGGCAATACAAAGCGCCGGCTACAGTTTATATTGGATAGCGCGGATAACAAGCACGTCAAGCGAATTTGAGCAAGGAGGCTACTTCGCACGTAGCAGGCGAATAAAGAGGTAGATTCTGAATCAAATCGAATCGAGGCGAAGCGATAAATAAGATGCAAGCATATATATATCACCATGTGCCACCAATGTTAGTGATTTGAGTTCACAAAATGTCATTCATGGTCTCTTGAAACCATTCTCTAAACTACATGTTATAGCATTCAATATTCGAACCTTGTGTCAGTTAAGACTCTACGATCTCGCGTCATTGATATATACTGAGTCCCCAAAACGCTTATGCGGGGTTCAAGTACGGTTATTCTGGTGGGGTTTTGTTCTCTGAGCTGGATGGTTTGGCCGTGGAGCTTTCATCGTTCTTCTGAACGACATCATCAGCACAAACTTCAGATAGAAGTGAAGTGTTCGAATTTCTCCATATGTGTCTCACAGCTTGTTCTGTATACCTCGATGTTGATTGGTTCTTATTGACCTTAAATTTGTGATTGTTTACTTCTTGTTTTGGTTGTCTCCCATTGGTTTGATTTTTGTTCCTATATTTGTGCATAATTTTCCTGATTGGTTGATAAATTGGATTGATTTCAATATGCTTGTTGATTGCTGATTGACCCGAGTGCCAGGCTTCTAAAAATTCTCTGGTGTTTTTGGGATTTCCTCTGTCCAAGATTTCCACTTTTTTCCAATCGAATGAGTGTCCGAAGTTGTCCACGTGTATTGGTATAAGTGAGGAAATATGGCGTTTGACTGCTAACTGATGTTCATGTAGGCGAAGGTGAAGGGGGCGTCCGCTTTGTCCGATGTAGTGTTTTTCGCAGTTGGCACAATTTATTTTGTAGATGATGTTTGATTTGTTTTCCTTTGTTATTTCATCCTTTGGTTTGCATAGGATTGTTTTAAGTGATTTTGTCGGTTTGTGTGCCACACCTATCCCGAAGGTTTTCAGCAGTCTCGTTGCGGTTTCTGATATATCTTTTGTGTATGGTAGGGCGATCCTTTTGTTGATTTCTGTGCTTGACTTGGGTTCTGATGCTGCATGTGGTTGGTATTTTTTGATGAGGTTGATTGGGTAGTCGTTCTTTTGAAATACATCCTTCAGGTATTTCTCTTTTTTTCGTGCTGTCAGTGTGCTGCAGTGTGTACTTGCCCTCTTTAACAAAGTGTGTACGCAGTTGGTTTTGTGAGCTCTTGGGTTGTTGCTATTGTAGTTGAGAATTTGATCTGTATGAGTCAGTTTCCTATACACTTGAGTTCCCAGTTTTCCTGTGTCGGTTCTAGTGATTAATATATCCAAGAATGATAGTTTGTTGTCTGACTCCTGTTCCATTGTGAACTTGATGTCATCGAAGACGTTGTTGATCAGCTTGTAAGTGTTTTCTAGCTCATTCTTTTTGACGATGACGAATGTGTAGTCTACATAGCGAATCCAAATTTTTGGCTTGATCACTGGTAATATCGCGGCTTCTAGTCTTTGCATCGCTGCTTCTGCGATCAGTCCTGATATTGGTGATCCCATTGGCGTCCCTTTCGTTTGTTCGTAGATTTTGTTGTTGAATTGAAAATTTGTTAGGCATAAATCGATGAGTTCTAGTAGACTTTGAATTTGAAGCTTCGTGTACTTAATGAGATTTATGTCGTTGGTGAGGAGCAGGGATATAGTTTCTTTTGCTAACCTTGGTTCAATTGAGGTGAATAACTTTGTTACATCGAAGGATATCATCAGTTCGTCGTTGATTTGGATGTCCTTAATTTTGTGTAGGAAATGTTTAGGGGATTTGATGAAGTGTTTGGATGAATCTACTGAATGTTTCAGTATTCGCGAAATTTCTTTTGACAAATTGTATGTTGGCGTTCCGGGAAGTGCTGCAATTGAACGTAATGGAATGTTTGGTTTGTGTATTTTTGGTCTGCCATGGAATAGAGGGAGTACCGATCCATTGGATTTCATTCTCCATTGGTCTTGTTTTGTTATTTCTCCTGCTTTGACTAGCTTGTTTAGAGTCTTTGAGATTCGGTTGTCTAATTTTTTGACGGGATTTATATTCATCAGTTTGTATGTGCTCTTATCTTCAAGTAGTTTCTCAGCTTTTTTGACGTATCCTTCTTTTTCCATAATTACTGTGTTGCGTCTCTTTTCCGCTGGAACTATGACAATATCCTTTCTAGTTCTAAGTTCCTTCAAAGCTTTTTGTTCTTGTGGGGTCAGTTGGTTATTTCCCTTCACCTTTTGAGTTAGCGGTACTATAGTTTGCCTTATTTCTTGTTGTTGCTTCACTGATTCCGGAAGTTTTTAGTGATGACCCTAGGGCTGCGAAGAATTTCAGTTTTGAGGCGTCACTTGTATTGTAGTTTAATCCCTTTCGGGGTAGGTGTTCTTCCGTATTTGTTAGTGGTTGCTTTGACAGATTGATCACGCAGTTGTTTGTTTCTTCCATGGGTGGTTTTGAGATCTTGATTAGTTTTTTCTTTAAGCTGTTTCTTCTTTGTTCTCTGTGTCGTTTGCATGATATCTCGATGGCTGTTGTCAAGATTTCCAAATATTCTGATGTGAGTGTCCTTTGTATCTTCACCTTTTGGTCTTCTATGACGTGTTGGTATTTGCGAATCTTGTAGTGTGCATCCGTTATCATTAAGTGTACGGTTATTCATTTGACCTTACGCTGTCAGTAAAAAGGACTCGCAAGAATCATTCTTCGAGTATCTATAGACTCCACCGCTATTTCCCGTGATCTCGCTCGTGTAGGTATAGCATTGAGTTCTAAGACAGAACAGGCTATCGTAGGACACTAATCAACCTCCTTCGAAAAGCTAAACGCTGTGACGTAGTAAATGTGTCAGGTAATTTTGATGCTCAAGTAGATGAACTAAACCAAACTAACAGGCTCTTAGGTTGTTACAGCTCAGCGAACATATAATGGCGACCGTCTATTTCAATTATGCTCAGGTTACCGTCGGTTTCTAGCAGATATCAAATTTAAACATATGGCGAAACATCGTCTGACCTGGCGACACTCACAATCGACTTATATATGAACTCAAATAGATCACATTGCCAATAGCTATAGTTGGGGTGGCTCGATTGAAGTGTCTCTCACTCTCGAGCACATATTTAGACTCTGATCACGCTCTAGGTCGAGCAGGTATTTGTCTACATCTTACTGGAAGTAGAACAGTTAGTCATGTGTATTTGAGTTTATGAATCGGGATACCATATTAGTTGTTTAAAAAACGTTTTGTTGGTCAATGAGTTATTACTTGTCACAATGTTATCCGGCTTTCCACTCTTATCAAACTGAAATGAAATTTTTGATTTAATTTTCTTCATTGTAATGATCATTGATATTTGCATCTAGGTTCTTGAACTAATTTCTGAACGTAAAAATATTTGTTCAAATATACATTTACCAGCTCAATCAGGCAGTAGTGTTGTTCTAGAAAACATGAGAAGGGGTTATACTAGACAAGCCTACATAGAGTTAGTGAACACTATTCACGAAATAGTTCCAAGTTAGTATCTCTTATTTAGTTCATTTATAAATTTAACTTACTGTAATTATGAGTTTTTTATCGTCCAGTTTAAGTTAGTAAGTTGGCATACCAAGAAAAACTATATTATGCACTTACGATTAATTCCATTTAGATCTTTTAATACCATCGAGCTAATAAAATAAATGTCACTTACTAGATTGGAGAAACTGATTAAAAGAGATTTGAAATCATTTATTCAAGAAAGTACTAGTCAGAATACAACTAGTTTTCTTAACAAACAAGTTGCCTTAGAGCATTCAAATCTATTTAGGGACTAAAACTAGTGTGGCGTTGTTACAAGAGTGTGAAAGCGACAACGTACGCTTAAAATCCCTTAAATAAAATGGATTAGACTTCTGAAACGTACAATTTTTGATGGAAATAAATAAATGCTAACAATCCACAAACCTCGAATAGTTAAGTATACAGGAGCCAGTTATTCTACTGAAAACTACAAGATCGCATTCGTTACTTTAAATCAGTAAGTAAACTTGCGGAAAATCCTATAAGTCAGAAAACAACACAAATCCGTATGAAGCAGGAATATTAACAAATAGCTCATTATACTTGTTATTAAGTAGCGTTCTGTGAAACAGAAAAGGAGAAGCGAAAGGGAAACAGTTTATGAATATCGAACAGTTTTAATAAAGATTATCAGTGGTGATAGTCAAGATTGCTGTCTGTAAATCCCATGCATTACATTTTAGACAGTCTTACTTTAGTGAAATAACATATGCGTTGTCTCCTTGCTTGATCTACAAGCCCTGTGAGTCTTTATGCAATTTGCTCCCCCTAAAATAGTTTTCTGATGGGCCTTGTCCATCCCAAGTATCAATTAGGTTTTCTAATATATCAGTGAAGAGCTTCACTCTATGAATACATGTACACACCCAAGCACCGTATTTATTTCCTTGTCATAATCTAGTTAAATTCTGAGTAGCCGCTGAATGTTCTGGAAATGTGCTAGTTTTTATATGTTTGTATGAATTGTCTTCGAATACTCACGTAGTTCATACCATTGTTATCTTTCTTCCAGATGTTAGCCTTACAAGTGATTTTATCGCAGGATTTTGTGGTGAAACTGAAGAAGATCACTCTCAATCTCTTGAGCTCATTGAACGTGTTGGTTATTCATTTTGTTTCTGTTTTCCGTACAGTATGCGTGAGGTATGCATCATTTATATTGCTTTTAAAATTCCTTTTATATTTCTTTAGTGTTGATTAACCACTAGCTCTCTCTGCAATGAACCAGTCGATAAACGTCGAATAGAGTCTAATGTATCAAATACTCGACCATATGCCAATAGCTTACTATGTGAAGGGTAATAATACTATCTAGCTGCACTAATGGAAATCAATACAGTAGTATAGGTTCAGTTATTTTATTTAGTTTTTTTTTAAAGAACACTAAGGTGGAATAAGGACTTTTGGTATGTTCTTTAACTCACACTCTGTTTGAATGCAAAAGCTCCTTCTACATGTCTATTCACATGAGAACATCTAAAAGTCATCGATAATTCATCATACTTTAAACACTATAAACCAACTCGACATTATCACATCACCACATTAAGTTTACTGTAATAAGATTCATGCACCAACTCCCATACAAATTGGTCATTAGGCCTATTCATCCAATCATTTCAAAGCCGATCAATACTTTGTTTGGTGATACTCTTGTTTACAAATAAAGGTCCGTTTGTTAAGACTGTGAACGTTAAGAGACTAGTGTCGGTAATATGTTGCGCATGTTAAACCACCCGACACCCCATTAGTAACTAGAATAGAAGCTGATTAAAAGAAATTTAAGGGGTAACCGAACTAGGACCTACTGCCAATCTGTAAACCCATTAAATGTTGATCAGTCTTGTTGAGAAGTACAAATTGTTTGCTTCAGGACCATGCAGCAACCGTCAAAAATTGTTGGAGACACTAAGTGATATAGCTAGAAATGGATTGTAATTCCACAGATACATCTATTCTTTGCTTTGTTTTAATATTCCACACTTTTTTATTCCTTGAATTCATCTGTTCGTTTAAAAAAATATCTACCCGTGTTTAATTTTCACTATTATTGACTCGTTCTCTCTCGCTGGATGCTCCTTAGGATTATGGCGATTCAGACCAATGGACATTTATGACGAGTAGGTTTAAATGGTTGGAACTAAATGAAAGGGCATTATAATTCATTTTATACGATTCTGCATATCGTCCAGTATTCTAATGCTTGAAAGTAAGATCCATTTCACCACAATATGTTCATTCAAACTGTCAATATAAACAAATAAGTGTTTCTTGCTCGTTTCCTTGTACTTCCCCTAATTTCATTATCTGTTGTATTTTGACTTCACTTTAGAAAACTTTTGCATATCATCATTTAACTGATGATGTACCAATTGAAGTGAAAAAACGACGACATGAAGAGTTATCAATGATATCTCGAAATAAAAGTTTAGAGTTTAATCAAAAACAAATTGGCTCTATTCAAATTGTTTTAGTTGAAGGAGTAAGTTAACTAAAAAATGACACAATGACTAATTCGCGCCAAAGTGTTCATTCAGAAAAATTATTATTTGAAAAGGAAAAAGTATTTTGATCATCCCAAGATAGAACTTTTCAGTCAGCGCTAAGTGTCAATTTCATTATTGAGTGAATAGTTCTTGTTATGATGAAGCTACTGTTCGTTACCGAATAATTGGTGATCCTTGAAGCCTCTTTGGACTTATCGATTGAGTATTTATCAATACCCTCCCTTAAAAAATTCCACCTTATCAGGTATCGAGTGATTGAACTAAATCTTCTTGAGGCTAACAGAATACTCACATGACATATTTTTTAAACTTGGACTTCAGACTATCTTCATATTTTCAAATCCGATCGCCAGTATTGGTAAAACAAACATTTTTGACTTATCATTTCAACACGTCTTATGAAACATCGTACTTGTAAAAATCTTCTGACAGAATGGGATTACCTAGTTGTTTTTATTTAAGTAAATACAGTTGTTCAAGACTATGAATTTTTAGAAAGAAAGAATTCATATCTTGATATATCCCTATGATATGAACGAGACTGAAAAGGCATCGCTACTCTTACATGTCTTTATTTTGTTATTCTGAATAATATCCCTAGCCAATCTGTATCAAATGTTATAGCGTTGCATTTTCAAATACTCCAATATATGACTTCGTAAAAATTTTCTATTAAAAACGCGGGAGGATATCTGGAATTTATAACTGATTACATATGCTAATTATGAATGAACTAAACACTGCAAATCATACCACTTATCAGATTTTTATTTACGGTTAATATGTTCGACAAGACCCTTTTAGTACGACAACGGATTTGATGTGATTGGATAAATCAAATAACAAACACTCAATTATGCATCAAGATTTGCTCAACTGCACACAATAAGAAAAAAGATTGAAGGAAACCTTTTTATCTCAAGAAAAACTAATCATTCGAATAAATACCAATGTATATAACATTTACATGATCTTCAATAAACTATGTAAAAGTGGTATATTAAAATAAAGTTTAATACGAATAACCAATAATAAAAGAGGTCAATTATCATTGATTATAAACGGTGTTCACAATGTGATATGACTACTAACTAGTATTAAATGAGTTTGAAATGCTAATAGCATTATTTTTCGAAGCAACCCCGACAAGACCTTGATCCATTAAGCTTTACTAAAACGTACTTATTTTACTAGCCATTGAGTAGCACTACTATTTGTCTTTAAGCTCGGTTTAGGAATACATCACAAATGAATCTATAAATGTTGCTTCGAAACTATTATTAGCGCACTTCAGTAATTATTCCGTGCAATAGAGACAAATGTCACTGACTGTTGCATCTTTTTGCTGCAACTATCTTAGTGTTAATTGTACAAATATAAAGAATTTTCAAAGTTCCTTAAATTAAAATATTACGCTTTATTAATTTTAGCCTAGTCGTCGTTCACCAACGCAAGTGTTTGGACGTAATGATTATAATACGAAGGTAATTTTCGACCAAGATGTTACACTAATACCAACTACCAAAAATCAAGATTCTTCGCGTATATCCTTCAAGCCTGGTGATTATGTGGTTGTTGAGGTTTGTAAATATTTCTATTCCATTATATTTTAGTAGTGATGGTATTGGGAAGATAGATCACAGTCAATATAGCTTCAAACTATAGAGCGATTTTAAAACTAGATACAGAGCTCATTCGAAGGGATTCAGTGATAAACAAAAGTTTCAGTCAGTCGGCTACAACGCACCATGCATAAGCATCGGTCCAGCACAAGATGAACTCCAAATTCTTAGCAGTTACTTCAACCGTAGTAAAAAATAAAATTCTAGTGAGCATTGCGCGTTGTGGTAATCGATTTTCAGGTATTGGTAACTCGTGGCCCAACCTTCTCAGTCGATGAAAATTCACAACCTCACCAACTGATTTACAATCATTCCCTAATACTTTGCACCCAAGCTCACTATTTCTTACCCGGTGATCCCAGCAGATGCTGGTGATATTTATAAGACATCTCTGATCAAATATTAGTTAGAAAAGTTGATAAACCAGTTTAGCGTCAAGTTCAATATAAAAAGTGTGTCTATATTTTCTTCACATTAATTCTAACGCATAATGAAACATCTTCAACATCAACAAACTACACCCTGCCAACGATACTGGAGCATGTCTAGTGACTTGTTTGATGGATCAGTGATATGGACGGTGTAAAACGAATTGGATGGTTCGAATTTTATATGTACAGACTTCCCCAAAATAAAACTAGTAGTAAGAACAGTCAGTGCCAAAACAACGAGAGACTAGTGTGGAGAGAGTTAAATTAAATACTAGTGAATATCCTTCTTTGTTCTTGCCTCCCCTCTTTTTTAAACTTTTCCATGTTTCGTTTCGTATCTGTTTGTTTATTATTACAAAAAAGAAGAACGAATTCGTCCACTTGATTTTTAAAAGTAGAACTCCCACTCACTGTAAATTTAGGCAATCTCAAAATATCCATACAAAGAACCAGATAATATGGACTGTATATTAGGGACACACAGATTTTTATAAACCTGCATAAGTGGTAGTAATTTATCTAGTTTCTTATACTGTTCTTTTCAGATTATTGGTGCAACGTCTCAGACATTACAAGGAAAGGCTCTTGGCTTGTCTACACTTGGAGATTTTTGTGAAACAAAGTGGCATAGTGTGAATACAGCTAAAATAATATAAATCGTTCTTATTGATCAGAATTTTACCTTGGGGTGGGTTCTAGCATCGCATTTATCTCCTCACCTTTACTGTTATCCCAGGTGAATATCGTTTACTATCTATCCGTGAATTTAATAGCTAATCAAGAACTATCACTATAATGTTATATTGCCATTATTGGCTCGTACCCTGATGTGGTTCCTAGGTTTTATATACAGGTAATTCGGCCGAGCTGTATCAGCTGAAATATTTTTTTTATTTGTAGCCAAATTTACTTAGCAGGCCAGCAGAGAGCAGATGAAACGAAATTAACCCTAGGCTGGAAGGTAACTAACATAACAGGCTCCCAATGAAAATATGGGGTTATAAGAGGCCTATCTTAAGAACGACATACATCTTGTCCGCGAATACCTGGTAACTATAAAATTTTGGATATACGTTGTATCTCTAAGCCCCACCCAGTATCCAGACGAAAATGTTCGTAGCGCATCACAGAGTGCTCTGGGGACAAAACTAGCGTCGGTAATTTGAATCTAAACTGAATTAACGTATCTGTGGTCGTAAACAGAGTCGAGTAATATGAAAAGTGAACGTAGCAGTTGGTCAGACGAGATAGTTCTTCACAAAGTTGTGGATGTCCATTGACTTAGGTGGTTGAAAGATGTCATTTATTTACTTTAACACATAAATATTCGTGCAAGGTTTAGTGGTTCTTGACAAAATATATCGTAACCTAAAAACAAGTGGATCTCGTAAAATAGTACGTTAAGTGGGAAATACCGTCCGAAGTAATGAAAATAAAGTTCAACCGTTGAATGTTTGCTAGGACACTCATCCCATACATAGATACTCGTCGAAAAAAAACAAGCATTAGTTTACAAGCTTTCGTCTATTATATACTTGATGGTTACTCCCATTTAATACAATCGGTAACCGTGTCTTCGTCTAGCCGTCTTTTCATAATTCGGATTCCTGATTTCGCCGAATTCGCAATTAGCTGCATTTGGCAATGAACACGGTGGCACCCATCCATCGTCTTTAAGGGCAGCGAAACACTTGATGATATCTGAGTCTTTACGCGCCATTTTCTAGAATATAAACTGATGATTTGAAAACTTGACATCACTTACTCTTATCTGGTTAAGTGAATCATGTGGCGCATTGAAATTAATGAGGAAGTAGTGCCCTTCATATTGCCTTTCTCCTTGAACATGGAATACATTGGGAAGGCGTCGCAAGCCAAGATTCTCGACGTTGAATAGATGAGCACCATTATCGAGCATACCTTTGAGATGCCTTTTGAGAGCATCTTTTATACCAGGAGTGCCAAGAGCTTTAATTATTAGAGACATTTCATACCGTATCACGTTTGACATCTGGAAAACAATATACATCCTATGTTTACTGGAAGAAAATAATGAAATAGTTGATATTAAGTCTCATCCATATTCAGATGTTTGTGACCGAGGGGCATTTATTAACAGTAATATTAAGTAATGCTGCCCACCACTATAGCAAATATATATTTGTATTCATTAGTATAGCTGACCGCATGTTACTATATCTTCTCAGGCGAACCAATTGATGAGTATGTGGACCACCATCAAGCACCCTATAGATGACGAGGATAGGATTTAGTTATACAATGAATTAAGATAAGGAAAGTGACACAACTAGAAATGATAGATAGTTTTAATATGAATAATGAATGTACGTATGAATTACTCGGGTTCAGAACTAAAATGGGCAGCTCCATCAGTCGGTTGAAATCGCCATCAGAGTAAATTCCCGGACGAGATGCGTGCATGCTCTTAGCTCAATTAGGTTTATCTAACTGCAACTGCCAAATCAATGGTATTCATCCAACCGGTCAATCAATAATTTCAAATCAAATGTCGATTCTATCTTACCGTGTTGCCAATGTTACTGCTTCCCTCTCCTTTGAGCGTTATCTTCAGTTGCTGTCAATGATCTCCACAGAGGAAAAGTCTTTTTGAAGTAACAAAAATAAACAACAATCCCGAAGGCGTATGGTAATATTTGAACAGGGACGCCGAACTAAAAAACCGTCTCGGAACACAAAACAATATGAAATTACAATAGGATACAAGTTAATTCCCCTCCCTCACTCAGAAACAAATAAAACAGAACATAATTGTAGATCAATTTATAAAAAAATGTAAACTTTGGTTAACCATATATTATATATAGTCGTACGCCTGTTTTAGGCCATTACAGTGAACGATCATAGGTGACTGACAATCGTCTCTGGCAACTTTTATTTCACACGTAGATTATGTTGAGACTGGTTACTTCATAAGGACCTGTTCATTCTGTGTAGTTTTAGTGGCTGGCCCTGCCGATGGGTTTCATGTGTTTAACCATAGTTTTTCTGATTGTAAAGGTACTCCGTGAGCCTTGTTATTATAAAACTCCTTTGGATTTTTTTGTGCCACACGCAACTGTACTCGAGGTATATTATGGTACCTCAGTATATCCCCTGGAATCGAATGATTTTTTCTGACTTACGTAACATTCGGCCTCCATACGCAACAACTTTCGTTTCCATCCGAAGAAACGTGCGATAATACATAATCTTGGTATGTCTAGGGTAAAAAAACGGATTCCAACGTAAAATCTGAGTGTAACTCCGAAGCGAAAAATTCCCAAAACACATGAAGAATATTCTTCCCAATAATCTCCCTTCAGGTTCTACGATTATATATCCAAATTAATAATCCATAAAATTGGCCAAGATTGAGGCAGAGTACATCATGTTACATATACTCAGGTTTAGCAACTTATTGTAGGTTTTTTCAAAGATTTTCAGCTCCTTCATACCTTGCTATCAAAGGATATTAACTTTGAATAGACTGATAAGTGCCAACATTCTTTCGACTGGTTAAAAAAGTTTTGTTCTACGCCAATTTTAACACATCCGGACCGTCCTCCTACTGCTAGCCGTTTTATCTGATACAAGTGCTCAAGCTATCGGTTCTGTATTATCATAATCTTATTACCATCGGAAAGAGGTGCCAACTTGGAAAGCATACGTTTTAAAGAATTATGTCGATTGTTGGGGATTCAGATAATTAAAATAAGTCATAGTGTCATTGAATAAGAAAAAGAGAATTCAGCGAAGAAAATTTTCTTTTCGACGAAATCATTTACTCAAGCTGTACATTCGTATTTATTGTTATATGGAAAATGTATGTCTATAGGAGGACAGAAAGGATTATATCACAAAAATGACTTCGTCGAAAAGAAAATTTTATTCGCTGAATTCTCTTTTTCTTGTTGGGAATTCGCAAAACGCGAACAACTGCCTACCATCCAGAATGCAATGGGCTTATCAAGCGGACCAAACTGATTCACAGAACGCTACTAAAAGCATTTTTTAGTCAGGAAGAAGCTAGATCGATAGATCTAGCTATAAACAAGTGTTTCCTGGCATATAGCGATAGCGTCCATAGGTCTACTGGACATACACCTCATCTACTATGGACAAATGAAACTTCTAGAGGAGCTGCTAACACCCACAAGGCACCAAGACCCTTTATCAGCATCCACACATCTCGAGGAATTTACTCTGATGGCGATTTCAACCAACTGACCGAGTTGCTTGATACGTTTCTGGTAAGCTTATAAAAGTAGCCTTGAAATTCCAGTTTGCCTATAATAAGAAAACTGATTCACTAGTAAAATCATAGTGTAACACGGAAGCATGAGATTAGTACTGTAAAACAAAACTATGTGAATTAATAAGGGTGCTAAAAGATAAACAGTCAGCTGAACTACAAATCCAACCACCTGAAAAATATCTTCCTGGTGGATCGTTTTCTGTATGGGTACTAGAATGCCGACAATATCTGATGGATTTCGCCAGCAACCGACAAACTTGCTTACTAGACACCCTCATTTCTAGAGAAGTATTGAAGGAGCCAAGACTATCAAGCATAAGGATCCTACCGACAAAAGAAATAAATGATTCTCTTACTGAAATGCGACCAGTATTCGGGCCTTTAAGGCATCCTGATTCGTTAAGAGAAGTTTCATCATGCTCAGTAAAATGAAAAGTCAGCTACCTTATTGGACGCTTTAAAAATTAGCGACAGTGAAATCCGCAAATTATTCCAGAACGGAACTTGAAGAGATAGTTCTTAATCAATTTATCGAGAGTATAGACTTGGAACTACTATAAAAGTTTATTAAGAAAGCTCCCGAAAGCCTAAAACCTGCTCGTGAGCAAGCATACGGAACGATTTCAGATCGTTAGAGCCCTCGGTGAGACTATAATTTATG